ATTTCCGGGATTTTACCGCATGGATTTGGGAGCAATCGGATGTTTTCGGAGATATTTCCCACACCTTGAATTGTGATGTCATTCTGAAGGTCATGTCAGTGAATGTATTCGTGTTCTTTTACGAAAATGAACCCAAAAACTAACGGTCGTAGAAAAAGTATAGTATGCAACGCGTTCGGTTAACATTTTAAGTCACTCGTTTATTAAACACTCGCTCCGCTCGTGTTAAATAAACTCGTGGGTCAAATGCCGTTTACCGCACTTGTTGCATAATATATTATTAACTACCAATACTTATATTTACATATCATTATTTGCTAATTAAAAATTTTCGTTAAACATTTGTAAAAAATAAAATAATAAACTTCTAAAAAAATATACGGAAAAGGAATATAAATATAAAATATAATATAATATAAGAAAAAAATAATAAAAAAAAACAAATAAGTAGAAAAATTGATAAATAACAAAAAGCAGTATCCTTATTATCCTCATAGACCCTGATAGACGTGTATGACAAAATAAAGGAATTCCCATTATTGCAATCTTTCCGTACGAACACCCTTCCAGTTTAGATCGAGGTTGCTGTAAGTAACGCAAAGGAGACAAAATTTCCACGTATCATAAGGATTTAGGAAATATTGTAGTTAAATCGACCATAGCAAATGTGCATCAGCGTCAACAGTTTCATCAATTCTGGTTGCGAGTTTTGCGATAGCAGAACAGCTAATATTCAATGTATTACATTCCCTTAAAAACGTTCGCCACACCAACTGCAGCGGGAGTTTAGAATACCGAAGCCAAGTACGATTTGAAGAAGTGTCAATTTGGTAACCACTGGTTGACATTCTTGTGACCGAATCCAACTCGGTCACAAACGAGGTAAGATTCGGAATTTTAATTTAACTTACACTTGATAATGGGCGGTAATCAATGTTTAGGAAACATTGCGAAATTAAGTGAGATAAAGGATAACACATGTTCAAGGTTGTTTTAGTTTCAACCAAAGAGATTACATCCAAAAGACCCGACAAGCCCTTACTATTTCTAGACCGACATATTGATCATATTATAAACGCACGTGACGGAGTTTATTACCATGTGTAAAAATTTTGACAGTAGACATCAGATGCTTTAGGATTTTATTATATGCCAATTATTTTGCGAGTTTTGCGACAGGAGGAGATTTTGTTTATAAATATTAGTTAAACAGTTATTTAAAATGGCTCTGCGCTGGTTAGCGTGTGAAATAACAAATTACGATTATCCTAGCTTCAGTTTGACATCGCATAGCATAAACTGAAACTGAACCAATAATTATTCTTTGTCTATTTTTGCTACTGGTCTCGATTTAATTTATTGATGAATTGTTGAGTCTCATTTGGTTTCAATACTGAAACATTGTCTAGGGCATCTCGATTTTTATTGGCAAAGAACATAATTGATCGCGATTTGATCAATTTATTTCCACCAGATATCCACTTCGAAACCGCGAAATCCATATAAACGATATGCGAATTTCGCAAAATAATAAAAAAACACACCGCGATAATCAAAGCGACAATTTCAAAATCACCAACAGCCATACTAAATAAACCGAATTAGCGACATTGCCTTTCCGACACGTTCATTTTTTCCCAAAAAAAAAACGGGCGATAAATTGCACGGTAAATGCCCGGCCAAATCCCTAAATATTATTTCGAACAAAGTCGGAAACGGCAACGCGACGCGAAGCCCCAGGGCAACAAATAATCGTTTTAAAATGTATTCCGTCAATGGCAGGGATGATTAAAATCTGTCCCGATTCCGAAAATCTGTGTCGCTGAATTTAATTGCGATGGATGGCGTGGCCGAATCCAAGAACAAAAAACCTTGCTTGTGTTCATTTCTATTACCGGAAAAAAAAACAATACTGATAAAGAATTTTATTGCCTATAAACTGGCCTAGTCGACTAATATGCCTTTAATGATTCTTTTTTTTTTAATTGGAGCAATTGTGAGAACTTTACATTACAAACGAAGCAATTGACTTCACCCAGCATATTTACCTGCACGAATTCGAAAAAAAATCATCATCGGAGTATTCATACCTAAAATTAACAATAGACTCACGGCAATGGCTGGACGGATATGAAAACAAGTTATAAAAGTTAAGGTAGAGAAGAAACCATTAAGAACGCGTTCCAAAATCTTCTGTGTACCAGGACAAAAATTACCCCATTGCATACGCTGGAGATTTAGTCATCCGTTATTCGTGGTGAAATACGGTCGGGTAATATTTGGCAACAACTACCGGAATAGAATGAAAAACCATTATATTCCTTCTGAACAACGTCATCGTCTCATAGGTTGAGCATCAGCACTATCGCATATGTGCGGATATGAATACTATCAGACCCAAGGCAGACCACAGAAGGTAAGAAATTGAAAGAAATCCATAAAATAACCCGCCTAAATATCACACGAATCATAAAGACTCGACGAAACAAGGGATTTCTGGCACTGCTTCGTCTTATAGATTAATATTAATAACTGTTCCTTATTTTGTTGATGTGCAAACAAAAATATATTTATTATTCTGCTGTAAAGAGAAATAAAAAACTGAATGAGTATGGAAAACTATTAAAACTAACCAATATTCTCCCGGTGGAAACAACTAATGCGAAAACATCAAATTTATATTAGGTAATATTTAACTCGAGATAAGAGAACTCTATCTTACATTTCCTTTAAAATCTTATTTCTTTCAAATATCTTTCAAAAATACTACAAAAGTACGTCAAACTTGTATTATTTTACTGTCTCAAATCTCGAATAAACAGATTCTTCATACGAATACGAATACGAAAGAACCTATTCAACAATATGCAGTGCCAGTGCAAGACCTATCGTGAATGCACATAAATTTCACATACTACACTGCCCTCTTCGCAATTTCTTTTAAATTGCGCAATTGAGATCGCATCTGGGCATATTTTGAAAAATGTAATTAGACGCATATCTAGTCCTGCGCTTGGCAGTTTAGTTTAATAATAAACGAATTTGCAAAGCAATTAAAAATGGGTTGATAAAGCGATCTATCTCCATGGAATGGGAAGTCAATAAGCGGTGTCGGTAAATTCGTTTTTTTCTAGCATGCCTAACGCAGACTATTTTAAAATTAAAATCAGTTTCAAATGGAAAATTCACGTAAGCGACCTTTCGACATTGAAAAATGGGAAGGTTCAACTTTTAAGTGGCGATATACCGTTACAACTTTCCAACATGTCATATGAACGTATCTCTACCTTTTTAGCTCACGATGTTAATGAATATGCATAGTGTCAATACGAAATTTCGAAATTAACTTGGTCACATAATTCGAAATGGAAACTGATAATAGCAAAGTTTTTTGTATCATATTTTTGAAGAAATATGCACCTAAATAATTATTACACTTTGGCATAACGGTCTATAATCTATTTAATTAAGCGGGCTAGTATACTTCCGAATAAAATCATTAAGAGTGCGACTCAGTTATCAATCTTAGTAATTTTTTTGATACGGTAATTTTAATTAGCATCTTTCGCAAATATTTTAATAATCCCTAAACCCGAAAGAAATACTTATAAATTTTTGACGCCACTAACTTGTTAAACACTTTCTAATTTTACAATACATACAAATACATAAATTACTAGACAAAAAAGCAGAATTTTTATTCTAATTAACGCTACTCAATTATCTTTTTCTACTCCCGTCTGTAAAATACCTAATTACACACCGATCTATCGTGTGGGAAGCGTCACTTTACCACGTCAGTTTTATTTCTCACGGATCCGAGCCACTTCCGACATTTCCGGAATTTTACCGCACGAGTTTGGGAGCCATCGGATGACAATTCCACCAATTCTGACGGTCATGTCAGTGAATGTATTCGTGTTGTTTTGCGAAAATGTACCCAAAAACTAACGGTCGTAGAAAAAGTATAGTATGCAACACGTTCGGTAAACTTTTTAAGTCATTCGTTTATTAAACACTCGCTGCGCTGCGCTCCGCTCGTGTTAAATAAACTCGTGAGTCAAATGGCGTTTGCCGCACTTGTTGCATAATATACTATAAACTCGGCTTATACCATGAGGTACCTCAGGTAGCCTTAGGTATACGGATGAAACATAAATCTATATTTTTTAAACATCGTAGTAGTAGTGACTCTATCTAAAAAGTGTATGAATTAACGTAATATGTTCCACGGCTAAATATAGCTTAAAATCGAGGTTCTAAGACATCTTTAAATATTTTTGGTTAATTATAGAGTTGTTGATTTGGTATGCAACAGGATCGTCTACTGTTTGGATAAAAAAACAGTTTATTGGAAAAAAGCAATATTAAAAAATTGACTTGTTGACAGAAAAATATATCATAATATGTATATAAAATGAGATTAGCGATTTAAAGTCGAACGTAATGAAATACATATTCTCGATTCCCTTTCAAAAAAAAGCAGTGCCGCGAGGGTACCAAATGGTACGCCCCTGAGGTGCAACTTAAAAAAACCAAGCTTTCGCCTGAAGTCAGTCGAACTATATTGATGCCAATCTAAACAAAAACGTCTATAATTCAAGGGGGCGGCGGAGTAAGATTTCCGGGTTTGGGGAACACACAGTGGGAAAGGGGTCTTCGGTAGAAGGGCGGGGGGGCGTCAAGTCAAGCAAACTAACTAAAACTCTCTTACGGAAGTTCCGCAGGCCGCAGCAGAAGTTTTCGGAGTATATCAGAGATTTCCTACAGTTAATTAATTAATTTGTGTCAGGTATAATACGGGAAGAGCTGAGTCGAGATGACTTTATTAATGGCTTCCAAAGAAGGGTCATAATGGTGAGATTATCTCTTGTAACTGAAAACTGGTGGCGTCAAAGTTAGGTTACATTGACAACTACATTCGCGTTTAAGTCATTTTTAACCGTAGAACGAGCTTTAGTTAGTTTGTTTCAGACGTGCGAAAGTCAGCGGAAACTTACCTCGATCTGCGTGTGGCAGGGTCTTTCATTACCATTACTTCAGTGATATCGCCATATTTACTAAAGTATTCGCGTAAACTTTCTGAAACAGAAAAGAAACACAGTTTAGTTACTTCATTGAGTATTTTTTTGGATTTTTAATTATCTATTTGAATAAGTGAACTTATTTAAAAACTCTTACTAGATTGGCAAATAATTCTAATACCAATACGTTTTATTTTTTATCATTAAGAACAAAAATATTCTCCCGAATAAAAAATATTGCGGCGGGACAACTAGAAAATGTTGATATATGAGTCATTTGGCTTCCTCATTCTCCATTATCAAATTTTTGCATTGAATTATTGTATGCATTGAGTCTTATTCTGATATGTTTTTTTTTTGTATATTAAAAAATACTCCAATTATTAAGATGACAACGTTTAGTTCTATTGCTTCAATTAATCACTCGTCAAAAATGAAGGAGCATATGACGCAGTCCAGCTATGGTGTTTCCTTTCACCTCTTGGATAACAGCAGTAGAACAAACTTGGCTAGAATAGAATGGTTTAATAAAGGAAATATGGAAAATAATCGTATTTTTTCTCAACTCGATATTAATCTGAGTGAAAGGCCCCCGATATGAATGAAGCATGTTTTGCTTACTTAGACCGAAGATTCCTTAATTGACTATGGGATAAAGAATCAATGTAAATACTACCACAAAGCCCGTTCATTAGAATTTCGGAGATATTAGTGAGTACCAAATTTAAAGAAGGTACCAACACTGGAAAACCATTAAGGGAGTTTAAAGAGACGCTGATATTTTAACAGTAAACAGATACCAGTCGAACAAAACTTTTTATTGGTACACTTAATCGTAGGATTTTAGAAAAAAATTATTTAAAAATTTAAGACGGCGAATATGCGCCTCGGCAATCATCTTGGAAATAACACTTTGCCCTGCACAACGTGAAATTTAGGTACACATTTTTCCATAAATTCTACGCTTGATAAATTTTAATTAATTTCAAATCTTTTCGAACAGCGCCACTACTTTTCTATTACTTTTTGGTATCAAAGAAATGTCATTTTGGTGCGCCGCTGCGGGCGAAGTATGGCGATGGCAAGCATAATCCGATCAGATATCGCTCCCCGTGCTTGAATCCACCCCGTTTCGAAATACAAAGATTTCAATTTGGTCTCGAAATTGCCTTTCAATAAAAAAAAAGGAATGTCGGTAGTTGTACGTGGCTCGTCTGAGGACACACGTTGCATCCGGACGGGGCGTTATTGTGCCCGGCACAAAAAACTTGTTTATGCATATGGAACGGGGGCACCGCCACCTGTGTCCAGAACAACAATAGGGTAAAGGATCGATTCGTCGTTACATGGGGAGCCCTTAATTTTATACAATTTTGAATTCGTTTTTCCAAAATGCCGAACAAAGGTAAGCGATAAGCCAGTTGAATTGCCTTTTGATACTAGTTTTTCAATATTATTATCAGCAAATAGAGTAATCATTAATGATACTTAATATTTAGTTAGACTAGATATTGCCAATATCACACATACCTGGCAGTTTACAACAGTGAATCTAAATAATATTGAAAATGAACACTATTTGGAATAATACAATTAACTGTAAGGAGCCTGATATACAAGATTAAAAAAAAAAGTTCTCCGAAACAAAAAATCAGCAGATGCGGATCAAATAAAAGGAACTAGGGAAAAAATATTGAAAAGGCTAAAGTATTTAATATTCCAATGAATCTCTGCTTTGTAGACTACCAAAAAGGGAACGCCAAAACACCTGGTTCAACCAGAAAAACAGCGCGAGAGTCAGAATCGACGGGATTTACTCGGGGACCTTCAGAACGACCGCAGAAGTTCGACAGAGCTGCGTTCTTTTACCAATCTTATTTAACACTTGTAGCGAATACGTCATGAGAGAGGTTCTAGACGAGTGCAATATCTGTTGGCGGAAAGCGGATTAACAATATGCGCTACGCTACACAGATCATAGCGTCAACCATACCAGCCATGACAGAAATTATGAGCAGCATTATTAGCGAAAAATATGGTTTAAAAATAAATAAATCGAAAACGAAAATAATGATTATTGATAGACAAGACAACAATTCTCCACAGACATCAGAAATTGCAGGCTATGAAATGATAAACAGTTTTAACTATCTTGGTTCTTCAATTACGAATTATGGGAAATCTGAGACCGAAATACGGCGTAGTCTGACCATCGCAAGATCAGCGATTTACAAGCTAAACATAATATGAAAGGACAAATCTACCATTAAAACAACGAAACTCCGTCTAGTTGATGTTCTAATTTTCCCCATTGCAACGTACGCAGCGGAAACATGGACTTTAAACAAAACAGATAAAAATTGAACGTGGGTTTATAGACAACTCTTACAAGTCTCGTGGTAAAAGCATCGAACCAACGTATCAGTGTTACAAGAAATTGGTCCTCCTACAAACCAGAGAAAACTGTATGTATTTGCAGTACATGGGGCATATAGCTGGAAGATCAAGATCAACGGAACGATTAGTCATTCAAGGGAATGTAAAGGCAAACGCCAAAGAGGCTGGTCTCCAACTGAATGGTCCGACCAAACAAAACTCTTAATAAATGTAAGATTGCATAATGCCCAAAGGACTGCACAATATAGGCAAGCATGAAATCAACTGCTGAAGCAAATATGAATGGTGTCATCACATCCTTTGGAAAAGATAATGAAAAGAGGAGGAGGAGGAGATATGTATAGGATTTCTATGTATAGGATTTGCCGTGTATCTTGGGACACTACCTTATCTCAGAAACTATAGGGGATAGAGTCAAAAGTTAATTGCGGTATTACAGACCTTTAATTTATTTTACTTTTGTGTATACAGTCTGTTTTATTTTTCGTGGGTGAATAACAATTTTACTATTTTAAATGATACATTGGTACATTACTTCATATTTGAATTCTAAACGTAATTTGTGTATAATGTGTTATACCTAAGTCTAACCGTCATTTACATTTTTAATATTTTATGCGCAAAATTACCTTTGCAAGATGTAAAATATCTGCCAATTTCTTCATTCTGAAGCATTTAATGTTTTACTGGAGTAAGTTTTGTTGTAGACAAAGGACTTAAATAACGGATTTCATAAGAAATTTCGATACATATTATGACAGAGTACGCGAAAAATAAGATTAGATATAAAATTTTAAAAAATGGCAAATTTTTTTTTTTAATGGAAACTACCTATTTTTACAATCTTGTCATTTTTAGCATTACAAATTAAGACCATTTTAGATAAGGTTGTACATGCCTAATATTTTTATGTTTTTAATGCACGAACGTACGAAGCGTTGTTCTATTTGACATCTATATCTAAAGACGCATTTCGGATCCAATCTTCAGGGGTCTCTGCAAAATGAAACAAAATATGAAGTTGCTCCTCTTCATTTAAAATATAAGGACGTGTACTTTTTCTTTCTTGAAGGTTCCATATATTCTGAAGTGTTGGTAAATCCTGTTGAAGACCTTTGTTTCTGAGCACGTCCTGAATGGAAATTTTGTCATATAACCTCCAAGAGCAAGTGTCCGATTTTTATTGTTCGATATGTAACGTTCTAACATACCAACATTTTCCTCTGTGGTACACATCATACGCAAGCAAACGAATAAATTAAATTTATAAACGATAAATGAATCAACTAACCAAAATTATGACAGTAATCAGCAACAAAACACGCGTTCAAAGAGGCAGCGTTCTAGCACTTGTTTTGTCCAAACGCCATCATAACGACCTTACACTAACTGAACTTATATGGCAACAACATATTACTTGTGATAGAGAAATGTTTAAAAGGAAATATTTCATATTAGGCACATACAACCTTATATAAAATTGCTTTAATTTTAATTGCTAAATATGACTAAATTATGAAACTAGGTAGTTTCCATTAAAAAAAAATTGGGCAGTTTTTAATTTAATTTTAAATCCTATTTTTCGCCTTCACTGTATTAATGTGAATCGAAATTTCTTATGAAATCCGTCATTCGAGTCCTTTGTCTACAACAAAACTTATTCAAGTGAAACAATAAATGCTTCAGATTGAAGAAATTGGCAGATATTGTACGTCTTGCAAACACCACTTTTCACATAAAAAATTAAAAATGTCAAAAACGGTTAGACTTATGTATAGGACAATATGCACAACATATGTCTAGAATTTTGATAATTATTATCATAATTTTTTTGTAATGCGACAAACCAAATATTAAAAGATTATTTCTCACTCAATAAAAATTCTTTAATATAGTAGTGCTTTTCTGCTATAATTAAAAATTATCTAATTAACAAATTTAATTTTTTTCTGGAAATTGTGCCGAAGCAATCATAAAATCAAAAAATTAGAACACAATCAATTATTTGTCACAGGATGAAGTTTCAAAAATGACAATTACTTTATTGATCCCCTCGAATTTTGTGTATTACACAATACACTCAGTCAAAACCTGTTTCTTCTGAAATAAAATACTTGTCACATGTTTTGCCATGCCAGTTGAAACTCGGACTGAATTGAAATCATTCATTTGTTTGATATTGCTTGACGATGATGATCAAACGAATATTTTGGTGGCTTATAACGTGCCGTTGTATTCTCTTCAATTTTAGAGAATCGGTAGGTCAAAACCGCCTTCCATAAAAGTAAATACCGTATATGTCAAAAAAAGTCGTAAAAATAAAATTAAAGCAAATTAGCAGACAACTTTGATTGGACAAATTTAAGAATTTGAGAGTCGAAGGCGCACTTTCAAAGTTGTAGAAGGAATTCTATACTATATTTGTCTACGATATCTTGATGCATCTACGACACGAAATTGTTTATTTTAAAGGAAGATGATGGAATGTAAACCAAGCGGCGAACCGAATCGTGCTCAGTGCCCAATCCGTGTAATCTATCATATTGGTTGACGTTGTCGTACATTCTCTCTATATGCAGAGGCATGCCTTTTGTAAAGCGCCAGGACAGAGTGTACAAGAGCCCAAGCTGTTTATGTTTACCACCTTATTACGGACGCCGG